GCATATTCCGCTGATAGCGTATTATGTGCAAATTTGACTATTCATAACTATTTATTATTGTGTAATAATGATGGGAAAACAGACAATGATACCATAACAATACCTATTTAGTTACATTAAGTGTCAATATGCTAAGTGCTTGGCACATAAGTACTTCATAATATTGCTACTACACTATAGTTATTATTGTCATCAGAGTCCTAAGAGTAATACAGTGATGGGACCAGCAATTAGTGTAATGGCTATGTCGCTGGACTCCTATGTAGTCCACTGAGGTTTGAGTCCCAGACCGCGTGGCTTAAACTCACGCCAGGCACGTGTGCAAGCGTGCTCAAGATCCTGAGAGAAGAATGGAGGAGAAGGGATTGCGGCGTGGCCATCGTGATTTCTCGCTTTCTGTGTCTCGGTCTCTCTCTGTCTTTCTGGAGAGCATATGCACCCTATAGCAAAAACCTGCCAAAAAAATAAAGTAACAGTGATAACAGCAGTAGTACTCAAAGTTCTTTAGATTTAATCATCCACTTGGGTCGTGGTCGGCCATGTGGGAGTGTCCAGCTCCTTAGCCACTGTGCCACCTGCTGGTCCCAATAGCTATGGGTTTTTACATAGCTGCTTTTTATCAGATTGAGGAAGCTCCCATCTGTTCCTAATTTGTTGGATGTTTTTATCACGAAGGGTTGTTGAATTTTGTCAGATGCTTCTCTATGTCTATTAAGATGATTATATGGTTTTTGTCTTTTATTCTATTGGTATGGCATCTTACATTAATTGATTTTCAGATTTTAAACCAACCTTGAATTTCTAGCGTAAATCTCACTTGGTTAGGGCTTATAATCTTTTTAATATGTGGTGTATTCAGTGTTGCTAGCATGTTCCTATCAATATTAATAAGCAATACTGGTAGGGACCAGCAGATGGTGAAATAGTATGTCATTGGACTCTTATGAGGTTGACCATGGTTTGAGTCCCGGACCCAGTGGCTTGAAACGCATGCTGGGTGCGTGTGTGTGCCCAAAATCCTGAGAGGAGAATGGAGGAGAAGTAATTGTGGCGGTGGCCATCCTCCCTGGGGGGTGATTTCTTACTTTCTGTCTCTGTCTCTTCAGCAAGTGTGTGCGCCCTATAGCAAAAATCTCTCTAAAAAACAATAAAGAAATACTGGTAAATGGTTCTCTGTTCTTGTGATGCTGTCCTCTGGTTTTGGCTATCTTTGTAATTTTTCTTATTTATTTAATTTAATTTGTTGTTATTATATTTTAATTTGACCAGAGAAAGAAAGAGAGAAAGAGAAAGCGAGAAAGCAAGCTGCCAGGTCCTGGGCTCGAACCACAGTCTCCCCTGTGGGAATCCAGCACCTCTAACCACGATGCCACCTGCCGGCCCCATCATTTTTCTTTTTTTTGGAGAGGTTTTTTTTGCTATAGGGTGCGTGTGCTCGCCAAACAGACAGAGAGAGACATAGAGACAGAAAGCAAGAAATCACCCCCCTAGGGGGGATGGTGAGGCCGCAATACCTTCTCCTCCCTTCTGCTCTCGGGATCTTGGGCATGCGCTCACACGCGCCCGGTGTGAGTTTTAAGCCACTGGGTCCGGGACGCGAACCGCGGTCGACTACGTGGGAGTCCAGCAACATAGCCGTTACACTAACTGCTGGTTCCCTCATTTTTCTTTTTAAAATATTTACTTAATTGATTTATTTTTTATTAGTGGTTTTTAATTTACTATAGTACATCTGTACTCACCAGAGAGAAACAGAGAGAGGGAGATTGAGAAAGCAAGCCACCAGCTCCAGAACTCAAACCTGGGTCAGCCATGAAAAAGTCCAGCACCTTAACCACCACACCAACTGCTGGGCCCTGTCCTTTTCTTTTAATGTGTTAGTGTGGAATAGGGGACACTGACGGCTTTTCCTTTCCTGTGCTTGCCATATCTGGTAGGAAGGGACAGATAGAAGCTCTGAGCCCACACTCAGACTGTGAGAGGCACCAACGAGGAGAGTGCGATCTCGTTTATAAAATGGGATAGGAGACCTGGCTGTCAGCCTGCAGGCTCAGGGCAAGGTATGCTGCCTTCTTTGCATTGCTTCTGGGATGGCAAGAGAACCCAGACAAGGTGAAAAAGAGACTATGAGAATCAACCTCCAAAGTCCTTCCTGGCTCTAAAATCCTTACCTCTAGGGGATCAGATCCCAATAACTAATTGAGCATTCACCCTCCCTATTAGGTAACTGAGCCAGATTTCATAAAGATGAGGAGGTGGAAAATCAGCATACTTGGCTGGAATCCTGTCAGCTCATAACCAGGCCTCATTGGATGATGAGTCTCTGGCCAACCAAAGATAAGGATAGGTCAGAGGACACACTGGAAGAGCCTACCCCCTCCATAGCCCCGAAGGAAAGCAGATCCTCATGCTAAGGCCTGGAAAACAGCACAGCTCTTTAGGAATAGAACAGGGCTCAGGATGGGCAGCTGCTCTGTGGCCCTTCCAGCTCCCAGCTCCAGCAGCACAGTGGGAGGCTCTATAAATGATAGCTGTGGATTCCCAGTCCTCCCACCCCGTCAGGGAAGGGGCAGCCAGCTGGCCATGTGGGAAGGGTGGGACTCTTATAAATCCTTTGCTTCAAGTGTCTTGCTAAATATCATCAATCAGAGTCCCTGTGCAACCTTGAGAAGGTGACTTCCTTGCCATCCTCAGAGTTTAGGGCAGATCCACAAACCAGGCAGTCTGTGGAGGTGGGAACCGTAGCCCTGGGTCTGGGTTCCTCAGAGGAGCCCATGGCCAGTTCCCTCTGCAGACCTGCCATTCCCTCCTGGGGCAGCCAGTGCTATTTTTGTGTTTGCAGTTCACTACAGAGGCCCACGATACAGGCAGGAAAGAAGCAAGTAGGCTGTGCTATTCATTGCCACCAAGGCTTCTTCTGTGACGACTCCCCTTCCCGCTCCCTCCAGCCCCCTTCTGATTAGCAAGCTGAGCGGGGAAGCAGCGCTCAGAAAAGTCAGCATCTGTTAGGTAACCAGCTCAGCTGCCATGCAGGGTATGATGTAATCTTGGATTCTGTGGTTGCTAGGAAAATTCTGCCTGCAGTGGTATTGCGTGGTCTCAGGACTGAGGTGAGAACAGAATGTTCCCGAGAAGACAGGGCTTCCCAAGTAAAGGAGCCCCATCCCAAGAAGCCAGATAATTTGAACTCCTTTCTGGAAGCCTATTTCCCTTTTCAGGAATAGAGGTTGTACTGGTAAGGGCAGGACCCCATGAAGGCAAGTTTTTTGTTTGTTTGTTTGTTTGTTTGTTTGTTTTCAGGGAGAGTGGGCAGTGACATGATTCATTCCATTAATGCTCTGGTGCCAACCTGAAGGCACACCTTTGTGATGTCACGTCCATGTAGGTGGTCCCTTCCGAGGCACCTCCCCACAGCTAGGAGCTTCCTCTCCCCTGTATGGTAGAGTGGTTAGGAAGGAGGTCAGCACCAGGGTATCGAGGGGGGTCACCCCTACAGTGCAGACACAGTGGCCAACACTGGCCATTTTACGTAGCAGGTGCCCCTCCACATACCATTCTTACCTGCCACACTTAGGTGACCCTTCTATCTCTGCTCTTCTGATCTGTCTTCTCCCAAGGAGGATTCCTCTAGTAGCACAGATAAGAAGTTACTCTGGGGACCAGCAGCTAGCATAATGGCTATGTCGCTGGACTCCCACGTAGTCGACAGCAGTTCGCGTCCCAGACCCAGTGGCTTAAAACTCACTGCGTGTGCGTGCGTGCCCAAGATCCTGAGAGGAGAATGGAGGAGAAAGGGTTGTGGCATGGCCATCCCCCCTGGGGGGTGATTTCTCGCTTTTTGTCTCTCTGTCTCTGTCTGGCAAGCACACGCGCCCTTTAGCAAAAACCTCTCCCCAAAAAAAAAAGTTAGATTAATAAGTGGGACTGGCAGATGGTGCAATGATTGTGGTGCAGGACTCCCACGTGGCCAACTGAGATTTGAGTCCCAGACCTGGCGATGTGCTTTCTCATTCTCCCTTCTCTTTCTTTGGTCAAATTGAATAATAATGATAATAATAGTAATAAATAAAAATTTTTAAAAAGAAGTAACTCTGAAGGGCCACATGCAGTGACTGTTACTGTTTAAGGCACCACAAAGAACTTTGTAAAAGGGGAGTCGGGGCAGGAGAGAGCAGCACGACCCAGGAGCAGAGAGTGAGGGTGGAATCCTACTGGTCATTTCCCTTGCCTTGCAGGGTCTGCTGGTCACAGGCAGGGCCTGCCTTCCCCAGCAGCTTTGGGTGGGAGTGGGAGGGTAGCATTTTGAGCTTTCTCTCCTCCCTTCTGCTTTTCTGGCTGCCAGTCAGAACCTGTCTTATAGAAAACAAGACAAAGGAAATGATTTCATGAATGCCTGGACCAGAATCTCAAATTCAGGATTAAGAAAAATCATAATAAGGATTGTGAGCATTATCTGTGTCTGTCACAGCCAGGGAGACAGCAGGCTGGAAACAGGCCTGGCCTTGCTCCTTGGAACCAGTGTTGGGTTTAGGCAAAGGGTAGCCATTACAAAGACGAGTGGCTATTAAAAATCATAATGAGTAAGAGCTTCCAAAGGGATCAGGACAGGAGTCTTGAGAAAAAAAAGAGGGAGGTTCCTGAGGACCTAGTTTGAGCAACCTTTGAGCTAGTGATGTGAGTAGAGCTTAGACCCGTTCCAGGACTGGAAAACCTGGGTCCTTGTCCTGGCTCACCAAGAGGCTGCGTAGTGGCGAGCAAACCTCTGAGCCTCACCTCAGCAGTCCTACAGCCTTATGGTAGGCTTGCTGGCCATATCCCCTTGCCGGGATTCAGGGAAGAGCAGAGGGGAGATGAGCTTCCTTGGAAGGGCTTTGTATTCAGAAAACATCACAATGATGGTGGGCTGATGCTCTAACTGGGGGCCCATAGTCCCCTCGCCTTTTCCTGCTTGCAGGCCGATGCCAGAAGCCCCGTCAGCAATTCTTGTCCCTGGTCTGCAGGTGCAGAGGACGTGGTGATGGCATTTTCCAGGTCGGAGACGGAGGACCGGAGGCAGTAACTGCAAACCCCTTGGAACACCCTGGAAGCTGTCAAGGGCCAAGAGATCTGTGTGGCTCCTCGGCCAGCTGAGTGGCAGCAGACCACCCTGCCCTGCTGCCCCTTTCTCCCCCTTCGACCCAGCCTCGCCCCACCCACAGCCACTCAGCAGGGCTGGCATAAGGGAGACACCACAGGTGCGTTTACGATTGGCTTAAAGGGATGGACTCATGATTGGCTGCAGGAAGAAAACTTCTATTTTTAAATCTTGACCAACAGAAACTTTTTATTTTTATTTCCGACTTTCTTTCTTTCTTTTTTTTTTTTTTTTTTAATTTGCTCCTCGGTGTCTGGCTTCCCAGGAAGTTCTCCGAGCTCTGGTGCTGTATTTAGGTCATTTTTAGGAATGTGAAGAGGTCTGATTGGCTACTTAAACTAGAAAACGATTATGATTGGCTAGTTAATGGGAAACGGTTTTTGTCTTTGATTGGCTGCAGGTGTTCTGCTGATATCAACAGCTTCTCTATTTTTAATGCAGAAAACAGGGTTTGGGATATTGGTTGTTATATTTGACTTTAAAAAAAAAAAAAGGAACGAACCAAGTGCGCTTTGCAATATTTATTACACAAAGAGCTTGCTGCTGCCTTCACGTTTTGGTTTGTGTTTGATTTGACTGGTTTTTATATGAATTTGGTTTCCCATCGACTTACCTATGACTTCCATTGCCATGGATTCATTCCCACTCTATTTCGTACTGTCCCTCTTGGGCCCAGGAGTCCACCTGCAAAGTACATTTGCTTTAATGACTGCACCTGCCTCCACAGCAAGGAGACCCCAAGGACCCTGAGCAGAGTCCATGGCTGGAAAACAGGGCCCCCAAGGAGCGAGCTTGGTGATGTCCCAAACAAGCAGCCCAGAGCTTAGAGGTGACCACTAGGCGGGATTTATGTGCACTGCTTCCTTGAGCTGGCAACTATCCAGCTTTCCTTGACCATGGGATTGTTCATGGGCTGCTCCAGCCTCCCTAGCTGGCCCATGCTGAGCAGAGGAGCACTGGGCTGGCTGGGCAGCTCTGTCCTCCTGGCTGCCCCTCCGTACACCACTTTCTGAGGCCTCATCTGTGGCTCCTGTAAAGGGAAGGAGACCCCACAGCACCCTGGAAGCCATCTAGCAGGGGTCTCTATGCAGGAGCCCAGGACCCAGCCTGGCTCACAGGGCCCAGGACCTTTGGCTCCGAACACTAACTCCTGACACCCCAGTAGGCTTTCTACTGCTGGGCAGTGGGTTTAGCCACCACGGGAGTTCTCTCTTCCGAGTCCCGAGCCCTCTACTGCTCCACCTTCAGAAGGGTCTCTCTCCTTGTCAGCCTGGAAGGGACAGCGTCATTGTTTATGAAGTGCTCATGAGGATGGCTGACTGGGCTTTCACTGAGCAAGTCCCACCAGGCTGACCCTCACACCCCACCTCAGAATCACAGTTTAGAGCACTGGGCCTCGAGGAGGGTGGGGACCAGGTCTAGAGTTAGTGCGGAACCTAAAGTCCTTCCACCTGCCGCCTCCTTCCCTGGGAGGTGGGACCCAGGGTGGGGGTTTGGAGGCAAATGCACACCTCTGGGAGGGGTGCACCATCCTCCTGGTAGGAAGTAGAGGGCTAAGGTCCCTTTCTTACCCTGGATACCCAGAGTCAGGGGAACACTGTCAGAGCCAAATCTTTCCCTTGCTTAGGACGTGGGCGAGAGACTCAGAGTCTCGTAAATATCAGGGAGCATACAAGAGCCAAATGCCCGGGTCCTGGAGAGCCCTGATGTCCATGGGTGGTTCGCACTGTGCTCAGGCATCATCAGCCTTGTTCCAGGAGGACTGGAGTCTCACGGCTAAGGCCTGTTTCTTCTACCACACACTGGCCTCTGGCCCACTTAACTGACAGTTAACTTGTCGAGGCCATTGGTCCCCTGTGGGGAATCCAGCTGCAGGCTGCCCCCAGCAGGGCCCTGAGAGTATCTTGCCCCAGGAGGAACAGTGCACATGTGCATATTCCATGTGAGCACACACATGTGCACGCACACTCCCAGCGCAGTGGCCGGAGCTCTGGCTGAGCCCTTGGGGAAAGGTGAGTTTTTTTCAGTCCCTCCCACACCAGGTTGTAGCATCTTAAATCCAGTGTCAAGACCATGTTGCTAGGTGCCCCTCTCTTTGTACCTGTATCTCCCATAAAGGGCCTGGGCCCTGGCTGATCATATGTTCTCTGCCCCAGCCTATCCTTGTCATGATCACAGGCCTCACTCCTGTAACAGTGACAACCCCGACCTATCTCACTTTTTGAAGAAGAAAAGTCAAAGTGTTGCCATGGCTCCGTATTTCAACTAAAAATATATCCTTTGGAGAAAAAGATTAATAATAAAGATTTTTCATAGCTTGGTGTGTGAGCTGAGCTGGTTTCTCCCTCCAAGTCTGGCCTCTGATCTCCCTGGATTATGCATTATCTGCTGCTGTGGGGCCTCTGGGAGGCATGGGGGGGGCCGGGATGACAACACCATGTTTGATGAGCAAGTGTCTGTGCCTGGATTGGACTCAGGGTTTGGGAGAATGTCCAGGTCTACCCAGCAGAGCTCATGGTCCTTCCAAAGGTAGAGCCCCCCCTTTTGACCTGGAGATGAGGGCAGCCCCGCCCTGCCCGTGCTTATAGTAAACTATGCACTCTTTAAGGGTATGACGGCCCATCTTCCCAGACACCCCGTATCCTCCTGTGACGGCCCTGGTCTTAGAATGCATTTACAGAAGCCCAAATAGAATCTCCGTCCCTTCCTTCACCCCAAAACTGGAAGATTTATTGGTGTTCAGCTGGATATTCAAGTTGAAGTCATTTCTGCTTCAGGAATTTTTGCTTTGGAAGCATTTTCTAGAAAATTTCATTTCTACCCTTCATATCACATTTTAGGTCTTTTTTCTTTATTTTCCTGTTTTCATAGACTCACTGCTTCTATTTCCTTTTCAAAGAATTTCACTGCGTCCTAGTTGCAATGGCACAAGTAGCAGGGCACCCGCTATGTGAGGCTGGGACCACATGGAGTCCTGGGTTCAATTCCCTACCAGTCTAAACGGGCCTAACACAGTAGCCCCTGTAATCCAAGCTAACTGGGAAGATGGAGCAGGAGGACGATGGGATCATGGCATGGCAAGACCCTGTCAGAAGTACCTCTCCTCGGGACCAGCAGTTAGCATAATGGCTATGTCGCTGGACTCCCATGTAGTCGGCCGCGGTTCGAGTCCTGGACCCGGCGGCTTACACTCACTCCGGGCACATGTGCATGCGTGCCCAAGATCCTGAGAGGAGAATGGAGGAGAATGGATTGCGGCGTGGCCATCCCCCCTGGGGGGGGGTGATTTCTCGCTTTCTGTCTCTCTGTCTCCCTGTCTCTCTGGCGAGCATACATGCCCTATAGCTAAAAACTCTCCAAAAAAAGAAGAAAAAAAAAAGTACCTCTCCTCTGTCTTTCTCTCTCTCTTCTTCCCCTCACCCCCATTAAACAAACAAACAAAAAACCTCACTGGTCCTAAATTCAATGGGGTTTACAGATTTGGGCACAGCTGGCGTAATCTGGATCTTTAGATTTGGTGTTGGACAGGATGTTAGGAACCGAACTGCTAGTACAATAGCCACATAAACAAGCCTTCACAAACATCTCCAAAAAGGGTTTGTCCAGCCTTTGCTTGAGGGCAGGAGAACTCACTCTTTCACCAGTTAGTTAATCTATTCCATCTTCAGGTAACTTACATTGAACTGTTCTGTCTTTGTAACTTTCTGTCCAGAAAAAAGATTGTAGTCATGGAGAGAAAGACAAATAAAGGTAGCTGTGTTTGCCAAAATGACTTAAACACACATTTAAGGACCGTGTTAAGTCAGTTGTATAGAGGTCCCCCCTTCCCTTGTGTTTCGAATGACTGTCAGCCTTGTAGTTATGGGCTTTTCTAGCTGGGCCATGGACAGAGGGAGGGGCTGGCTGGCCCTGCTTCTACCTGCCCAGCCCCTAGCAGGAAGCTTAGAACTGGAGCACAAGGGGGACCATCCTCCCCGAGCCGTCCAACCTGTTAGGTCTGTAATGGGAAGTAGGTGGCTATGTAAAATGAGTCGGACATCTCATTGGGCAAAGGGAAAACACTGGGCAACTTTTTTTAAATTTATTCATTTGTTATCACTTTTTAAAATTTGATCAGGGTGAGACATGAAGAGAGAGAGGGCAAGTGGGAAAGCAAGCCATCAGGTCCAGGACTCAAACTGTGGTTAGTTATGTGGGAGTGTCCAGCACCTTAACCACCATGCCACCTGCTGGTCCCCAGGTTTTGGGGGATTTTTTTTAGAGGTTTTTGCTATAGGGCATGTGCGATCACCAGAAAGAGACAGACAGAAAGCAAGAAATCACACCCCCGCCCCCTCAGGGAGGATGGCCATGCCACGATCCCATCTCCTCCATTCTCCTCTCGGGATCTTGGGCATGCATACACATGTGCCCAGCATGAGTTCAAGCCACTGAATTTGGGACTCGAACCGCGGTCGGCTACAGGGGAGTCCAGCGACATAGCCTTTATGCCAACTGCCGGCCCCACAGCATTGGATTCTTCGAGTCCCTTGGCCCACATAGCAGGCGGCAGCCTACTGGGTCCACCTTCCTGTGTGCAGGTACATATGGTTGGTAATAACCTCAAGGGGCAGGATTGGACTGCCGGGGCCGGAGTCAGCTGGGGGCCAGGCTGAGCCCAGGAGAGGCCTGGGATCCTGTTTTAGTTGGTGTTTCCCAGGCCTGGGGGGAGGGCAACTGAGAATGAATGAAGCATTTCTTCTCTGTTCCTGCAGGCGACTCCTGGCTGTCCCCAGCCTTTGAACAGGGTCCTTTGTATCAGGGAAAATGATCCCTTCCAGGGCACCTGGCCCAGAGGCAAAGGAAGTTCTGCAGGTCCCAGGAGACCTCAGCACTGTCCACCTGCCTTGTCTGTACTGGGTGGGTTCTGTCTGTCTTTGGGTTCCTTGTAGCCACTCATCCCTTCCCAGATGATGAACTAGGCCCAGACTAACCTGAGGTGGAGCTTAGAGAACATTCACACCCCTCTGCATGGAAAGAGCTTAATCTGGGAGACAACTAGGTGTTTGGGAAGACTTGGAAGGTGTGAAGGTATGGCAGCCAGTCCTGATCTAAAGAAAGGCCTCCTCAAAGGACGGGCAATGGCATGCCTTTT